AGGTTCCTCCACACTCATTTAAAAGGAGGACATTCAAATATGTTCCTGAACACACACAAGATGGAGTGGAAAGGATGTGGGAGGGCATCGTACAAGCACTGTGTGTCAATAAAATTGCAAGTCAGAAGAGAACAGAAAATTGCAAATCTGCTTACTGCATATGCAGAGTTTCTGGAAGCATAGCCCAGGCATTCTTAACCATGGTTATCTAAGAGAGTAGAATTAAGGATGCAGAGAGACAGGGTGTGGGTTTTTTTATTTTTAATCTTGCATCCTTCGATACTGCTTAAATTTTTCTATAGCTAGCATAAGTTACATACATGCTTTTTTAAGACATAAATTAAATTTTTAAATTTTGCTGAAAAGTCATGAAATGAAGTCAGATTTGTCTCAAGGCAGATCATATTTCCAGAAACCGACTTTGGGCTGAAATTTGTTTCAGAAGATTTATTGAGACAATCATTACATGGGATAAATTTCCATGAAGTCATTTGTGTAAAGATACAAGAACACGTCAGCTGGGTTTTCCAAACTCAGAAATCTGTTTTTCTCATCTTAATTTTATTTTTATTCTAACCAATGCATACACATCCCAAACCAAATTTTTAGTCCCTCTTGATGATGGGTCTCAAGGCTAGGAAGTCGTGAAGTCTGGGTTCTATCCTTGCAGTGTGACAAAGAATCACTAATTCTGATCACAGTGGTTATAATGCAGTATAGAGCCAAAAGGGTTCTTTGTGCTCACAAGGGCTCAAAGATGTTAGATCATAACATGCATTTGACGAAATCTAGGGGCCCCATATGCTTCATGGAAACCACAATTTGTATTGCCAAAAGTATGGGATATTAGGCCTTTTAGCATCATCTGGAACGCATTAATAATTGTTAACATTTGTACAGTACCATGTAGTTTGCAAAGCACTTTTATACCCACTGTTTTCCTTAATCCTCTTTGGAGTAGGTAAATGTCACAGATCAGCCACTGGGTACAGCAAGCTCATGCTTTTTCCCCCCAAAGTCAGTAATGAGTGAAGAGGCAAAGCCAGATTGTGTCCACCCAAGTTCTTACTGCCACCCCACACTGCTTCCAAGGCATGGCCGACCTAAGCTGTCCTAGACAGAAGAGGGTGGGCAGCTCGTTCTTATTCTCTGTTTATTTGCATGATGTTATGCCCTTGAGCTGGATGAGTTTAAAAGCAGAGCATGGCTATTGCCACTGTTTGTGAAACATTACTACTTGGAACAGGCAGAGAAAACAGACAGCAGCTTGAGTTCTTAGTCATCTTGAACTGAATCAAGCAGGACAATTAAGAGGAAAAAAACAAATCTTGTAAATCTCAATGAAGGAAGCGCCCAAACATAGTCTTTGCTATTGACCAGTGTATCCTTCCCTAGTATGGTTATACGGTATGCCTTTCTCCAAGAAGTTCAAAGTAATGGCAACAAAATGATCTTTGTTGACGGTCTCTAACTCCAATACCAACTTCCATCATTTGATTACAAGATTTCGTGTCAGATTATTTTTCTTTTCCCAAAGCTCTTTGTTAAACTACCCACATGTCATATTGCATTTGTGTTTTTATTTTCTTGCCCATAAACCTCATACAGAGTTATTATAATCATGTGTTACTACCTCCACTTATTGGCCACCTATTAAATTCCAGGTATGATGGCAGGTATTTCATATATTTTATGTTATTTCTAACTCCTATAACAAACTCTACAATGATTAACTCACTCCTTTCATTTTGTAGATGAAGAAGCTGAAATCAAGAGAGGTAAGTCTGGATGTCAGCGTATTGAAGTAGCAGAGCTGGGATCAATCTAGGTTCAAAGCCCAGATTCTCTTCAGGATACAACACACAGTAGTAATGTCCATTGTATTAGGTATTTGGAGAAAAGGTTCATGGTAGTGGCTTGTATTTGAGCAGCTAGCTTCACATTCTTTTTCCCCAGCTCCTGAGTGTGGGCTGGTGGTCTGAGGTGATGAAATTCAAACCTAATACAAATGTGACTTTCCCATCTCATACCCCTTACCCGTCTAAGGAGAATTACAACATATAATGGACGCTTCTGTTCTGCTTCTTTCTCCACCTGGTCAACTCTCAAAGGAAAACAAAAATTCATATGATCACTGAGGTCTAGAAATTAACTTTTATTTTAAATCTGTCAAGAACTCCTGGCAATTATTAATTTTATTAAAATGATTACATATGGCAAAACAAAGAATAGAGGTAATTCCATTTCTCTATAGCATAAATTATGAGTTAGATTCTCAGCTGCTGGCTCAGCATTGTTCACAATTCTTTTAAAGGTTTGGGTGGACTTTAGTTCCCAGAAAATTTTAAAGTAGCAAAGGAGGAAATAAATTAAAAGTAATCCCAACTGGACATCTTGCCAAGGATGTGCTAATTATACAATCTTCTTGACATACTTATAGGCCAGACCCCAAGCTATGGTAGTTTGCAAAAAATCATGCAAATAGATGTCCTATATTGACTTGTTATTTATAATTTTTAACAGAACAAATTTGTTAATTCTTTTTTAAAGATGGCAAAAATGAATTATGACTAATTCAAACAAAAAACAACCAGCATCCATTCATCTAACTGAAATGTCAAAACAAAAACAATTTCATTAAAATATTTAATACCAGAATAACTTATAATAGTATGAAAAAAGACTGAAGTACTTGTCCTTTGTTGTCATTGACATGATCACATTTTGGCAAAACTGTCTTGTGAATAGTTCATAGTTTTTTTTTTTTATCATGGATCCATATCTACTTAAGGAAGTAAATCAAACGAACTCATACTTCATCTGATCATACAGTCATAATTTACATATCTTGCTTTGCACTTACTGTTACTGCAATTTAAAAACAAAGTATTATATATATACACAAAATATTTTATATCAAATTATCTTCATTACACTAAATAAACCCTACCCCCAAATGCTGTGATACATGAAAAAGTATCATACAATTTCTATCAAGATTGATTTTGTTCATATATCAACCAGGGCAGCCTTTGGTTTTAAAAAGGTTTTGCAAAATAAAGAAAATTTTCCCATGTGGCTGCACTATGGGCTCTCATTCACACTCACAAAAGCATTTTCCAGTTAAAACAAAAATACAAAATAGATTGACATACCCAGAACAAACATCCCACCATTATAGAATCAAATCCTTTTTACTTCTCTGGAGCACATATACTCTGTTATATTTGGCATCTCCACTGTTTATTCAAGTTTCAAGTATACCCAAGCTGACTAGAATATTATTGCTTGATTGAAAAAGATATTCTTCTTTCTTGATATTGATTATTCTTACTCAATGATAGTCTCATTTAGAAACAAAACGTTCTTTCTTTTAATGCATGATTTCACTTAAATTTTACTTGAATGTCTTACTTGGCAAAATTCAGAGGCTGTTCAATGTTTTGCTTTCCATGTGTTTTAAATTTAAAAATCAATGTTATGTGTGTACATGCATATTCACATGGAGATACATTTCTTTCATTGTCTTGTTCTCGTTGCAATGTAATTGTCCACCAGCAACTGTAACTGGAAATGAACCAAATAAAAAGTTTTTGGCTGTTCCATATAAAAACACTTTCTATCACAAAACCCACTAACTACTAATGCGAACAGGGCTATGTTTTAAAAACAAAGGATAGGTTTAGCTCTATGCAAGAACATTCTGAGTTATTTATATAAGGAAGTTTTTGTTTTTGTTTTTATACTTCATCATGACTTGCGAGAAAGAAAATCCAAATTCATTCTAAAGGGCATGGTGTTTTCCAGCAGTGCTTGGAGAAAGGTTGCTGATCACAGTGAACTCACTGAGACGCTTCTTGAAGGTACACAATGGCTTTCAGTTTGGCATATCAGATGCAGGCATAAAATTCTCACTGTCACTCGGAAAAGCACACCAAACCGTTTAAAATACTATAAAAGTTTTTCTTAAGGGAGCATTTCACTTGGACTGAATAGATTTTCAAGTTTTAACATGTGAATTATTGACTGCATTTCAAGGGCTTTCAACAGTTATGGTTTCTGTCCTGGAATGTCCATCTGGAACGATACACACAGGCTAATAAGCATGATGGCGCTGTCATTTTGAGGCATAGTTGTTCTGCTATGCCCACGTTGTAGCTTATTTTCAGGAAGCAAGGCACTTACTGTAATGGCAATGCAGACATTTTATGCATAGTTTTGAGTAACATAAAATAAGTTAATATTTTTGATTAAAGTGAGGTTTTTTATAACTTATATGTCTTTTATAGAAGCAATTAAATGATATAGTTAGGATAATTAAAAAATAAGAAGAGGTTTGAAAGGGAGTCTTTTTTACGCTACTTCAGCTCTGAAAATGAGGATTTATGAAAAAACATGGACATGAGGAATAGCCATTGATCTGAAAAGTGACAGATGCTTAGAACTGCTGGGCCAGCGGGACTTTGACCGTCTTTACTTCCGCTATATGCGATGACTTCTGGATAATGCAGCTGGTGGTTCCCTGTAGTTTGTCTTTTCCCTGTGCAAGATTTGTTAAGGCCATAGCTGCATTAATCTCCTTCCAGTATGTGTCATCCTTGCTTGCACCCTTTCTATTAGCTGCACTGGAGTTAAGCAAAACAGGAAAAAAAAAAAAAAAGATCAAACTCACAGCTTGAACATAGAAAATGCCACCATTGAAAAGCCCAAATGGCAAACACCTGACTCACCTGTCTCCCTTACTGGATCCATTCTCCAGAGTGTCTGTAAAGAGAAGCAAAAATCAATTATTTTACCTTTTTAATCTCAGGAGTTACGAGGATTAATGTCATTCGTTAGTATCATTAGTTACCAGGAATAAAATTCATCAGGAAACATGGCTAAAAATTAGTTGTCTTTTACACAGAGAAAGCCATTTAAATGAAGATGAAAGTAAATAAATAAATAACCTTCTATGTTAGGAAGTAGGAATGAGACCAGGTGATAACAAATCAAAAGTAGCTTTCATAAATGCACAAAAATCTGAGGTCAATTTATTCTGAGAAATCAGGTCTTTTTATGAGGCATCAAAGGGCAGAAATGGGGGAGAGCCAGGTGGACCTGGGGCCAGGCTGTGGCCCTGCCCAGCCACCCACCTGCTGGGTAACTCATGGCAGATTGCAATGCTCTACTGGGCCTGGGGGCACTGCCCTCAATTATAAAATTAGGGGTGTTGTAGATCTTCAGAGTGCTGCTGGCTCAGTGATCTAGGATTTCACGGGACTGAAACCCTCATCTGAGAAAAAAGGCTAATAAGCAGATCCTTCTGGAGATGCAGCGGAAGGACCCCAGAACCAAACCGATAGCCACACAGAGCTCCCCGGCATTTCGAAACGCGCTAGCACCGTCTCGCAGCTCCAAATATCCTTATCTGGCTGCTAAAGGAAATGAAAGCTAGGAGATGAGTTTGACGTGTGTACTCGACTTGATATAGATCTGTCCCCTCCTCAATCAGAACACTGGTGTCTACTCATACCACATAGATGTAAGATGAAAAAGGCTCTGACCTTTATTAGATCCCTCCAGGTAACTCCTTTGGCTAAAAGAAAGTGGTCTTAGGAATGCAAAAATAGAGCAGGGAAGATGGGAGAGGTGTGGAAGGGTAAGTAGGTACCAGTCTGGCTATGGAGGTGAGCCCACAAAACCTCAAAAGTCGAGTCGCTTGGTCCCCACCCTCATGATCATCAATAGCAGCAAACATTACTAAGTACCAGAATGAGGGCCCACGCTGCACCAGGACACTAAAACACACCGTTTGCTGGACAGCCCGGCAGGTTTTGGGAAGTGTCCTTCTTTCCTTCTGCTGCCTCAGTTCCATATTTCTCAGGGGGATTTTATTTCTTTTCTCCACAATGCTCAGGGCTAGTTAGACAATGCAGCATAATTTCCAGTTTGGGGCTCTCAGGGAGACATGGAACTGGAACACCTGAGAACAGTCCTAGCCCAATTAGGACAAAATTTCCTAGAGCAAATATAACCTAGGAAAGCTAATTCCATGACAGGTAGATCAGGGAAGCAAACTTCAAAACCTGCTATGCAGGGATAGAATCAGGGAAGCTTATCAACACATCCTGAGGCAGCCTTAGAGGATGGGGCAGGCGACAATATTTTTTGAGGTCTCTGCACCCAAGGACCCACAGCGCTTAAAAAGAAAAAGGCAAATAAAGGCCCTCCCTGGTGGCACAGCACTATGAAGCAGCCAGAGAGGTGACCCACATGGCACAGCAGACCTCTCCGGACACTCCTTCTGCTCCCCTCAACAGTGTATTTCAGTAGATCTCCCTGTTCTGCTCCCTACTCTGTCTCTGGTGAATCCTCTCACCACCATCACTCCCACCTGTACCCCAGTTTTTGTATACGTAAATAAATAAATCTTCAAAAAAATGAAAAAGAAAAAGGCAAATAAAACAGAATCTCTTAGTAGATAAATGACCCAGTTGATATGAACAATCAATGAGCAAATGTGTGTCTGGCCCAGAATGGAACAGAAGTCAGTTTCTTTGGTCTTTCATTTTATGGCTGCTTTGGGGACCAGTTGAGTTTGGAAGTGGCTGGATGTTCCTTGCCAGAACCTTGTAAGTTTTTGGGCCTTGAAGTTCACCTGGATGGTTAACTACATCTCTCAGAGAGTTCTGGAATTCTAAGATTACCATGTGAATGGAGGGACAGAATGAAGACCTGAGCACACAGAGCTCTGATAATTCCAGCCTGTGGATCAGTTCTTGAGTGGCAGTCCCCCCTGGAAGTGCACTGTGCCTTAACACTGTAACATCGCAACTCTGTGTGTGGACAGCTTATCTTTGTGACGCCCAGTGTGTCACTGGCTTCAGTGCTGTTATCTGTAAATCTTCCTTCCATGATGACAGAAGACACCAGAACAGAGAAAAGTCAGGGCCTCTGTGCAGAAAGAAAGCCAGCGACACTGGACACTTGACAGAGGGAAAAAAAGGAGTTAGGCTTTTGCTCAATTTTGCCCACAAATTGCAACAATTCTGTTGCCAAAGTGAAGCAATAGGTTATGGAGATATTTATTCAATGGAAAGACTTGGCAAAAGCAGAATAAGTTCCATGCAGCTTAAATAACATTAGGGAAATAACAAAACATAATTTAGAAAAGACCGTGTAACTGATGATCTGGCTTGCAAACCAAACAGTCTCACATAGGCAAAGGGGCCCGACTCAGAATCCCACCTGAACATCAACCTGCAGGAGAGTACAGCACACCCCGCAACGAGGAAGTCAGGGCCATGCAGGTGCACTGGCTCCTGACCCCAGGCGCCAGAGGTGAAAGGAGCCTGAATGTAGGGGAGAACGTGATGGTTCTTAGATGTCCCCAGAGCTTTGGTTTAAGCAAAGTGCACTGGGACGTCCTTTCGGCTCATGACCAGCCGGCTGGATGCCGCCTGCCCTCCCTGTGGCTGCCTCCTTGAACTTGTTCCATTAAAGAAATGAGCTTACTAGAGCCAACTGTGAAATTATAAAATGCTGCTTACTCTTTGGGTGTATGTGTTTTATAGTTTGGTGCCTGTGAAAATACCTTTGAAGTGTAAACACAGAGACTCCCACCCCATTCCAGTATTCTTAATTAGTTTCATGAGTTCTAACAATGGGTATTGAAAAGATTGGGCTCTCTATTTTATTTCTTAAGAAGATGGGCCTGTTCAGTGTCCCTAGGTCTGGATGTAAGCTCCTTGATTGGCAACAGAAGAAACAGTCCCAGAAAAAGCAATGCACAGCAGAGTGATGTTGTTTCTCTGGAAATAGTTCATGCTACAACCATGTGTAACGAAGTTCAATCTCAAAAATTTCAAACCAACCCAAGTGAGTTGACAACTACCATTTGGGGGTCCTCGGTATCAGATACCATTTTGTGTGTGGGGGGTCTCGGTATCAGGAGGTTTGCAGCCATATGTGACTGGCCAGAGGGTCCATGGTGCTCTTGCTGTTACTGATGAGCTGCTATATGTCTCTGGGGTATTGCATGTCCAAGAGTCACCTCCTGTAGGGAATGTGTGCTCGATCCCAGAAGCACTAGCAAGAGAAATACAGCAAACAGGGGCCCTTTAACTCTGACACCTTTGTGCTCTTATAGGGAAGCAAAGGACTAGAATGATCTGGTAGTTGGAGTTTTTTCCTATTTGTTATGCTGAGATGAAATTTGGGGCAATAGCCCAGCTATTTGGAAACTGACATTTGAGGGAAACTCAAAAGAATTTGCAATATGCTCATTATATTAAATCATTTGTATTAAATATAAGCTGTTTTTGTCTGCTAAAAATGGAGCTTCCATCTGACCCAGCAATCCCGCTCCTAGGTATCTAACCAAAAGACACAAAAACATTGATTCAAAGACACCTGCGCCTCCCCCCCCCCATGTTTATTGCTGCTTTATGTACAATAGGAAAGACATGGAATCAACCCAAGTGCCCAAAAGTAGGTGACTGGGTTAAAAAGATGTGGTACATATACACAATGGAATATTACTCAGCAACCAAAAAGAATAAACATATGCCTTTTGCCGCAACATGGATGGAGCTGGAAGGGATCATGCTTAATGAAATAAGAAAGAAAAGGAAAAATCCAGATGGTTTCACTCATAGCAGGAGTATAAAGGACCAGGGGAGAAAAATGAACAAATATATACCAGAGACATTTTACCAGGGTGAAGTGGGGAGTGGGATCAAAAATAGTGGAGGGAGGGAAATGCACATGGGAGTGAAGGCATATGGGTGATTTGGTGATGGGAAGCTCATGGGGATTACAAATGAAATGGAAAAAGGCACAAAATGATGTAAAAAAAACTATTATATTATTTAAAAAATTAAAAATAAAATATAAGCTGTTTTTATGTTCTTTTCCTTTAAGCTTGCCCATGTGTCTCTCCAGCCACTAGTGAGCAGGGAGCAACCCCTCCCCCCCAGGCCTGTGACCCAACCAGTGCGGAGGATGCTCCTGACACTTCTGCCTGCTGCAGACACACGGTCTTGCTGGCCCCCGTCCAGAAGTAGCCTAGTTGTTTGAGAAACAACCTGACAGACGAAGAAAGGATTCTGCACACTGCTGGGAAGAAAAATAGGCAGTCTGAGCTAGAGCAGAAATATTACTGCGGTGAATTAACTGCATCGACTTAAGGTCGGCCTGCCCTACATTCAAGTCAGCTGCATCTCTTACTCTGCAAGTAGCTTGGCTCAACGTCTCCAGAGTCTGAGCTCAAATGCCTTTTTAGATTCTAAGGTTCCAAAAAATCAGCTACGCTGTCAATTACCATAAAAGCAACTGGTTGGCAGTCTGAACTTGTTGAACCGCCCAAAAGAGCGTGTTTTAAGACCTAAAAAAAAAAAAAAAAAAAAAAGACGGGGGGGTGGGGGTGGGGGTAGGAGCAAAAAAAGAGGTGCGTAGTTAGGAAAATCTTGGATGCTGTAAAACCCAAACCATGTTGAAACTTAAAATGGGGCTATCCTCAGTTTGGACATGTGTTTCCTTATAAAGTTAAGCAGAAAAATGATTATACAGAAAATTCTGTTCTACTGAAACTTGAGATGTGTAAGCAAAAAGCTCTGTGGGCAAAGTGTTCGTTCAACTTAGATAAATGCCATCTAGAAACACATTCATTCTGATATATTTCCTGAAGTGTTACAGTTAGAAACAAGAGACAAAAATGTGAGTAAATCATTTCGCTGCGAATTTTTTTCAGATTTAATGAGTGAGTCTTAAAGTTAGAGATG